CCATTGTAGGCTTTAGATTCGTGGTTACCAAAGGTTCAAGGGTAGCTTCTTTACTATCTAACTGTCTAACTTAACTCTCTTATTAACAGTCTGATGATTCTTTCTCTCCCTTCTTATTCCTCCTCCTCCATTCTTTATATGTTAGGTGTTTTATTTTGTGCTCTTTTGTGTTTCCTTTGACAGCTTTTATGAGTAGTTGATTTTATTTTTTGCCTTTAGTTAGTATTTGGTTGTTCTGCTTTCTTTGCTGTGATTTTATTTTCTCTGGTGACATCTATTTTGCCTTAGGAGTGCTTCCATCTAGAGCAGTCCCTTTAAAATACTCTGTAGAGGCAGTCTGTGGGAGGCAAATTCCCTCAACTTTTGCTTGGCTGGGAATTGTTTAATCCCTCCTTCATATTTAAATGATAATTGTGCTGGATACAGTATTCTTGGTTCAAGGCCCTTCTGTTTCATTGCATTAAATATATCATGCCATTCTCTTCTGGCCTGTAAGGTTTCTGTTGAGAACTCTGATGATAGCCTGATGGGTTTTCCTTTGTAGGTGACCTTTTTTCTCTCTCTGGCTGACTTTAATACTCTGTCCTTGTCCTTGATCTTTACCATTTTAATTATGTGTCTTGGTGTTGTCTTTCTTAATTCCCTTGTGTAGGGAGTTCTGTGAGCCTCCATTGTCTGAGGGACCACTTCCTCCCCCAGTTTGGGGAAGTTTTCAGCAATTATTTCTTCAAAGATACTTTCTATCCCTTTTTCTCTCTCTTCTTCTTCTTTTACCCCTATAATGCAAATATTGTTCCGTTTGGATTGGTCACACAGTTCTCTTAGTACTCTTTCATTCTTGGAGATCCTTTTATCACTCTCTGCCTCAGCGTCTCTGTGTTCCTGTTCTCTGATTTTTATTCCATTAACAGCCTCCTGCACCTCATCCAGTCTACTCTTAAGTCCTTCCAGACATTGTTTTATTTCTGTGTTTTCCCTCCTATCTTGATCCTTTAGCTCTTGTATATTTTTCTGTAGGTCCATCAGCATGGTTATGACCTTTATTTTGAATTCTTTTTCAGGAAGATTGGTTAAATCTATCTCCCCAGGTTCCCTCTCAGGGTTAAGTCTTGACTGGATCAAATTCTTCTGCCTTATCATGGCGATAGAGGTTGGTGCGTGTGTTGGCTGGGAGACCAACGTCCCGCACACGGGGAGCAGCTTCTGGTTTTATTTCCTGAGCCGCCGTGGGTGGGGCAGCCGTTGGGGCAGCCCAGAGCCCCGCGGGGAGAGGCAGGCACACCGGGTGTGCTCTCCTGTGAGAACGGCAATATTTCGCACCCTGTCCCGGCTTCCTCTGTCTGTGCTGGGCTGCCACGTGCCGGCAGGGCCTCTGAGTCTGACCCAGGCAGCTGCAGAGGAGGCTCTGGGTGGTTGCTGTGGGTGCGGCCACTCCCCTGCTATGGCGGGGCTACGCCAGAGGGGTAATTGACAGGAGGCTGTTTATTGCTGTGAGGGGCTTCAGAGCTGTGCTGTTGCCCAGGGTATTAGGGCACCTGGAGTTCCCCAGGATTCCCAGCTGCTGGGCTGAGTATACCGGGATGCTGCCGTCCAGTTGTGAGGTCCCTGTCCCTTTAAGACTTTCAAAAAGCACTTGCTTTTCTTTTGTCCCAGGGGCACTGGCTGTGGGGACCCGCTTCTCCGTTTTACTGTTCCGTTTCCCTAATATCTAGCACACCATGCAATGTGTATCTGCGCTTCCAGTGCGGATGACTAGGGCTGGGTTTTTAGCAGGCCTGGGCCCCCACTCCCTCCCCACTCTGACTCTTCTCCTCCCGCTGGTGGGCTGGGGTCGGGGGCATGCTCGGGTCCCTCCTGGCCGTGGCTTGTATCTTACCCTCTTCATGAGGTGCTGAGTTCTTGCAGATGTAGATGTAGCCTGGCTGTTGTACCGTATCTTCAGGTCTCTCATTTAGGATTAGTTGTATGTGTTGTATTTTCAAAAATATATATATGGTTTTGGGAGGAGATTTCTGCTGCCCTTCTCACACCACCATCTTGGCTCCTTCCTCCTCGATAGCCCCTTTCTGACCCAAGCACAGACCCTATTACTTCTGCATTTGCATCTCCTCAGGCAAAAGTGGAGAGTGTGTTTTGAACCCTCGTCATAGGTTATCTCTTCATATGTGAACCATACCCAAATTTGCTTTGGTGCCAGAAAAACTGAGGTTTGTTTGAACAAAGGATATCAACACACACTATGCTGAAAACAAGTTTGTTTAAAGTATGAGGGGCGATGAGGGGGTTGCCTTTCAAAAGCCTGAAAGCTTTAAAGCCAAAATAAGGGGAGTTTTCAGATAAAAAATAGGTTATCCTTTTTTGTCAGAGTGTCTGATGGCCACTCGTGGCTGGCTCCCAAGAATTCCTAAGCTGGGTTAATGAGGTCGTACAGTGAACACCTCACTACCCTGGCTTGAGTCCTGTGAAATCATATTAGAGTTAAGAATATTTTGGAATCCTTACTATTTTGATTTTTTTAGATTTTATTTTATCTTATAATTTCAGTTCATCTAAATTTTGTGTCTGTACATGTGATGTTTGACTGTACTGATGACTGTTAGAGAAGTTCAGTATTGTATGTCTCTCTGCACTGTGGTATAGTTAACTTCTGGATTTATATTTGTTCTATATTTATACTAAAATATAGAACAAAACCTTTTGAAAATTAGAATAAAGTGGTGACATTGCACTACAAAAAATAAAAGAGGTTATTTCCTCCAAGTTATTCTTCAGTCCCCTCATTCTAGTTGTCACCACAGCTATCATTCCACTGAACTATTTGCACCGGCCAATAGTTTTACCAGTATTATGGTAAAACCAGGGACTTCTCTACTATCAACCTGCTTTCCTTCCTTCAGTACCTGACATTATTGATAATACCCTCTGTCCTGAACTTTTCCTGGCTTTCCCAAACACCGCTCTCTTGAGATATTTTTTTCTCTCTTTTCCCCTCTCATTCTCCTGGGCTGCCTTCTCCTCCAGCCCTCTAAGTGGAGGTGCTTTGTGGTGTTCTGTCCTGAGTCTTCATGTACTCTGCAGTTGGTCTCTGAGCTGTGATACCCACTCCCATGGTTTTGCATAATTCCTTACTAATAAATCCAATTCTGGTCTTTTTCTTTAGTCTTAGACCAAACTAGAACTAAACTAGGCAAACTGCTCAACAGAGACCTCTTCATTGTTGTCCCAAAAGTACCATTAATGCAAATTCAAATTTCAATTAATAACAGACTAAAAACCTGGCAGTAAACCCTGACCCTTCCCTTTCCTTTTCTTTACCTTGCACCCAACCTAGACAGTTGTCAGGTCCTGTGGACCGTACCGAGGGTGACCAGTTGCATTTTACATGTCTGGACTCTCATTGCCAGCCCTGTGCTGCTGCCCAAGTTCATAGCTTTGTTTTCTTTCACCTGGGAATATGTAACTCTTTTCCTTGGCTTCTCTTCAGTGTCACAAGGTAACATCCAGCTGCTTGGTGTCAGGGCCCCTGTGGTCTTGTCCCAGATGATTTCTTCAGGTTCATGTCTCACAAACTCTCAAACAACCATTTACTAAAATTCTGTGGATTTTTTTTCTGGGTGTTTACTCTACTCTTCCTGCCCTAACTGCCTATTCCTTCCATCCTTTTGCCTAGAAAATCCTTCTGGGCCCAGTGCAAGGGTCTTCTCTATAAAGTCTTCCTCTTTGAGTCTAGAGTAAGTTTGGGGGCTTACGAAGGGTAGAACTACAACTGCCTTAATAATTACTACCATTTATGGAGAAATCACTGTGTGACAGTCATCATTTTGAACACTAAATACCAGAAGCAGATGGTTAAGAACATGAGCTTTGATGGCAGACTTCCAGCACTGCCATTTACTAGCTGTGTAACCTTGGACACGTTGTTTATCATCTCTGTGTCAATTAAGTCTGAGAGTTAAATGTGCTTGCCATATGGAAAGTAAGCAATACATGGTGACTGCTGCCACTACAAGTGGAAAGACTTTCATCCCTCATCACCCTATCATGGGATATGGGATACTGTTATCATTCCTGTTCCACAGATGATGAAACTGGGGTTAGGGAGCCTGGTAACATGTGCTGCTTCCCCAAACATGGCTGTGGGCATTGAGGCATAGTCATCTTTTTATTCTAGGATGTCTTTAAACTCAATTTATTGAACTGAATTGAAAGATTAATCTGGAGCTCCAGAGTCAGATTGAGAGAAAAATTTAGAAATTGTCTCCTACACAGGGGTGGTAATTGAAGCCATTCTCTTTCCTTTTAGGTCTTTTCATCTTTGAGTGTCCACACATTTCAACCACCCCTTCAGCGATGAACTGATTGCTTTGCAATGGATGATAATTATTCAACTACTTCTTAAATCTTTTCTCAAAATTTGCTTATATTTATTGTTTTCCCCAGCTGGATTATAAGCTCTTTGAGGGCAGAGGACCTTACCATATACTACTGCATATTCACTCCTGCCCTGTAGCAGTTCTTGTTTTTGTTTACTAAAATAAGTCAAATCTGAGTAACGTGTAATATTAACCTCAAAAAGAAATTTTCACCGTGATAACCAACCAAAATGATTTTGTTAATCTTTATTAATTTGTATTTTAAAATTATTAAGACTTTATTAATTTGTATATTTAAAATACATAAGACTATAATTTGTATTTAAAAAACACTATTTTTCTTCACATTTTCCAAATCAAATTTATTAGAACTACACCTCTACTACTTGCTACATTTCTTATGATACACACCTCTACACTCTTTAGTATTCTAATACACATTAGGGTCACTGACATAGGACTCTCCTATTCCCATCCTCTAATTTTATAATAGAAGAAACTGAGGGTCATGTTCCAAGTGGTTCTCCTAGTTGTTACCTGACAAAGTGTTCTCTAAAGAGCTTGGTCAAGACTCAAGATTCTAAACAGTATAAGAGTTTTAAATGCTTTGTACTTTTCTTTTGCCAGAGCTGAAAAGCTTCAGCTGCTGAATCACAGGCCCATGACTGCTGTTGAGATCCAGCTGGTGAGTGAAGGAGGCTTGAACTTGAGGGGAGTTGGTTTCTGGGCCTGAGATGGAGGAAGGATGATAAAGGCTGAGAACAGACAAGCCAGGGGTTGCCATTTCTTGAAAAGTGACATGAGACCTTATTTTATAAATAAAATGAGACCTCATCAATTTGATCCTAGTTAGTATGGACTTAAGGAGAGTAGGAGATTAGAGGAAACTTAATCCCTTCTGTAGAGTTTGGGCCTACGACTTGCCAGCTCTCTGTTTCCCCAGATGTCCTATCCCATTCTGGCCATTGCCTCCCTGTAGGCGTTATTGACAACCAGATGTTGCATAAAAACTTCTGACCCAACATGACTGGTGGAATTTACCTTCCCCTACTCCCACCCTTCAGCCCTACTCTTCCGTATTTCTTTTTCTTGGTTAATGGAGCATCTGTGCACTTTCCCACATGCTCCTTCTCTCTCACCCTCCTGGCCCTGTCCCCCAAGCCAGAGAACCTGGAAATCATTCTCTTCCTTTGATCATATTAAGTTAGTCCCCCCAAGTTCTGTTGCCTCTCTCTCCTCTTGTTATTTCCTCTCTCCCTACTGTGCTACATCAAGTTCTGTCATCATTTGTCAGCTTGGCTCTCTCTTCCCCCTGTCCTCTCACTGTTCTCTACACCCCATCTTCTACACCACTAGCATAGTTCCCTTTCTAAAATGACAAGTTTGCTCATATTGTTGCCTTGCATTAAACCATTCAGTAGAGCCTCATCATTTGCCAAATCTAAACAGCAATCATAGCATGAAGCTTTAGAAATGTGGAAAGCAGCTGGAATATAAACTGGAGATGGTATACAGAGAATGTGGAAATGAGGTCCAGTGATACAGACTACGTGGCTGCTCTGTTGGCGTGCTGTGGCCATTTAACTGCCAGTTAAAAAAAACTGGCTGGAGAATTAATAAAATGAGAGTAAAGCAGTTTCCAAGGTCAGTTTTAGGAGTATTTAGCACTGTCAAATTTCCTTCAGAAAAAGTGTGGGAGAAAATGGCCAAAAATACCTATGATGTTTAGAGTTTCTTTAAAAAAAAAAAGCCCTTTTTTTAAAGGGTCTGTAGGTATTTAATTTTTGACTAGAATGTTTATTATCTCCCCAGCATTGTTTCTGCCCTTCAGTATGCACCCAAAATTAAATTAGAAAAATTCCTTCCATAAAGGGTGCCTTTCTAGGGGAACTGGCTTTAGGATAAATACTGGCTTTTTATAAATACTCTTATTATTCTGATGCTTTCGACTGTGCTGGAGATTCAACTTAGAAAAGAGGAAGAATAAATAAAACCACAAGAAACTAATCCTATCCCTCTGGGTTAAAGATCACATGTCATGTCTCCTGCAGCTTTAATCAGCAACATGTGTTATTCATGGCTTAGGGACAGAGGAGAGAAGAGATGAGGAGGATTGGTGTGACCCAATCCCAGAGCCTGTGGAAAGCTTTGTCATTACTTGGTAAGATTAGCTGCTGTGAAAAATGCATCTATAGGCCAGACATGGTGCCAGTGGCTTCATGGTGTCACCTTGAACCCTCACCATCGTTGTCTAGGGAGTGGCCAACTGGGTGTGTCTGATCCAGAAGCCTTACTTTGTTCTCCAAGCCACATGCTTCTCATGAGGAGAGGAGAGATGTGTGTGGCCCTCCTCATATTGTTTGTTCTCATCTCCCTGACAGGCAGGTAGGCCTTGATACAAGCTGTATATGTTGGTTCCCAGCAGTTGAACCATTTTATGGCCAGATCTTTTCCAGCCTGGATTTGACTACAAAGGATGGCAAATCATGTACCAAGATTTGTAGCAGTATCTCTTGTCACCAGAAAAGAATAAAAAATTAGGTTTTCACGTAGAGTGGAAAGGGCAGAGGACTTGAGAATTTTTCTGTGTTAACCTTACAGCCATTTATTCTCCCTGGGTCCAGAAGTAATCCCAGCATTCGTTTCTTAGTATTCACTTTGGGAGGTGGATGCTTCTCCTTTCTAGTTATACCTTAGCCATTATTTGTTGTGATGCTCAGATCACAACATCGACAGATGACTGCCTGCTGTCTATGATGAGATAAGGAAGCCACCCCACTTCTGTGACTTCTTTCATGCCCACATATGTATTCATTTGGGACAGTGTGAGCGCGCTGGCCTAAAGACAAGACAGAGAACCCTGTGACCTCATAGGCCACTGTACTGAAGAGTACACCATCTATGCCTGTTATAATTCACTGGATAAAAAGCCATGAATTATGTGGAGTTTTATGGCTTGCAAAACACTGTTATGTCTGTTCTCATTTGGTCCTTACTATAGGCACTACTTTCATTTTGCATTAGAGAAAATTGAAGTTTACAAAGGTTAAGTAAACTGTTCTTGGTCAAATAGAAGTGTCTGTTGCTATTAGATTTTGAGTTGTTTTGAGGAAAGGAGGAGATTAGAACCAGAAACAACCAGGTCTGCAGTAAAGCAGCCTAGTTTGACAGCTCCAGGGAATTGATACAATCTTTGTATATGATAAAACTTTATCATTTATATTGCCCATCTGCAGATACTTCAGAGTTTTACATTTAATTTGCTCTTACATTCTGAACAACAGGAAACCTTTGGTGCTTGAGAATGTTGAGACAGCACTTTGTATTTCTTTATTTGGGCTATGTTTCTTCTGTGATGGGAAGGAAAGGTGAAGAGTAATATAGTAATTACCACTTACCTTAGTAATCCAAGAGGGGTTAGCAAGTTTTTGGTTTTTGAAAGTTTCTTTCTGGTGTGGATATCTTTTTTTTTTCTTTTTTCTTTTTTAGCACAGCTTAGGTTTTTTTCCTGTGACAGGGAATCTCTAATCAAAAAGAAAGTTCCTGAGTGAATTGTCCCTGAGGGTTGTGCACTGATAAAAAGCTTCTGCTCTCGGCAGGTTTGGGAAAATTAGAAAGCTCCTTAGCTCTCTTGTCAGGAACACACCTAGCTGACACTCAGTCAGTGTTGTACCTATCAAACCCAGAGACTGGCGGGTAAGCAGGTGGCCTGTTGATATTCTTTTTGTTTGCTTTTTAAAAAAAACCTCAGATCATATAACTAAACTCTTTCAAACCACTGGACTCTAGTCAGTCTGCTATACAGCATCTCTGAGAGGAAAAGATAAAAACCTCCTACTGGAGGGCACGACATTCTAGAAAGAGCTGAGATTCAAAGTCAAAAGACCTTGCACTCTTCACTATGAGGCCCAGATTAAGTTTTCCATATAACCCTGAGCCTTACATACTCATCTGTAAATTGACCTGACTTTATGTACAGTTGAGAAGCTATGGTGTTGTTGATTCCAGGAAGCCCCTCATAAACCATGGAGCATTGCACAGATACTAGTGGGATGTTGTAAATGTTCTAGAGATAGTCTGAATCCTTCACCCTCTTTCTCTGAGGCAGAAGACAGTTTTTCATCAAGTGCATATACCAGCTACTCATAAAGTTGGAGACATTCTTATCAATTGGAGATCTTTTCTCAGAATTAAACTATCAAATTGGATATATCCCTCCTTCTCCTTCATTCTTTGGAGGCAGTCTGTTAGATTACTTCTTTTTACAGACCCTAATTTTACATTTCTGATTTTAAAAAATGGGTTTTTGAGTATTGCTTCTTGTTCTTTAGAGAAGTTACATTTTGCAGAGCCTTTGAATCTTTAGAAAGTGGTCGTTTCATTTCACAGCATGATGGGAAGCAGCCCCAGGATCATCTCCACCCTAGAACACCCAGGATTATTCTCTAGTTATGGAAACATGTTTGGACTGACATGGATAAAGAGACTGCTGTTGTGCCAGGAGTTTGCAGTGTGATCTTGGACACACTACCTGACTTCTTTTGTTTCCGTACTGTCTTTCTGTAAAGTGAGGCAGTCAGACTGACTGAAAGTTACTTCCTGTTCAGGATTGTAAGCCTAGCCTATCATCTTGCTTTACTTAATCTGCCAGGATTTCTTTCTAGAACTCCTTTTAGTCTTAGTTGCTGGATTTCAGAGATTGCTGTGGGAAATGCTATGGAGTAGGGCCCTGGATACCTCTGGCCAAGAAAGCTGTTTGTGATAGTGGCTAAGACCACCAAGTGAATGTGGTTAAGTAACTTGACTGCCTGCACACTGCTTTTAAAGATTTGACTACATTACATTTGGATTCATTAATATATTGAGAAATAAAGGTTAGGCTAAGAAAACTGGCCCATGAGTGTGGATATTACCTGTGTGTTCAGATTTCCAGGACCACTTCAGAAACTGGGCTTTAAGTGGACCTCTGATATGTGTTAGATTGTAGACATTAGAGTTGGGCAGGCAGGACATGGGATTCCAGTTCTGCCCTTTGCCAGGATTGTTGTGAGGGCCAAAAGGAATAATGGTTGTGAAGTACAAGGTGCAGTGCTAGGTATGTGATCTAGTGGTGATCATAGTGAGGATTAGGAAAAAAATAAGCCATTTGGCGGATGGTGGGCAGTCATCAAATGAGTTATTGATACAGCTCATAAGTTAGAGATGTGCTTGTTGTGAAATATGAAAGTATATAAAGTGCCATTTCACTCCCCAGAGGTGAGTTGTCTTTGCATATACACATACTCGTGTGTGTGTAGATGGGTATAGAACTGTTAGGGTTTTCTTTTTCTTTAAAAAAAAAATGTGAATCTGCATCTTGCCTTCTTCACTGACCCATTTTGAGCAGTCGCACTGGCTTACCCCAGAATTTGAACTGGCCTCTGCCTCCCTTGGAGCCAAGAGCCTACGGACCTGAGGTGGCTTAGGAGCCATGCTCTGAACTCTGAGCGCCGCTAGGCTGGCCTGAACCAAAATAGCGTGGCCAGGGCAGGGTGGGAGTGGGAGTGGACCAGCCTGTGAGGCTCACTTCTAATCCCTGGAGGGTTTTCTTCCTTTGACAGATGGTGGAAGAAAGTGAAGAACGGCTCACAGAGGAGCAGATCGAAGCTCTCCTCCACACTGTTACGAGCATTCTTCCTGCAGGGCCAGAGGCTGAGCAGAAGGAAAGTACCAATGATGATGTGACAATGGCCGAAGAGGACCCAGCATAGACGAGGACAGCTGGCCCAGGTGTCTCTTGAAGTTGAAAGACCCAGTAGCCGTTTTCCAGACATTCAGAGGATTGTTGATTTACTTGATTTTGCCCTCCTACCCCAATAGGCCTGTTTTCATAGTTGGTTGGGTAAATCACAAAATAAGCCTTTCTCAAAAAATAAACTAAAATGAAATACATGTGCCGCTTGGAGAAGAAACTGGTGAAGACAGGCTAAGGTTGTCAGGGCAAGACAGCCAAAGAGAGGATGGAGTCACAGAGGATGGTGACTGTGGGACCCTCTGTGGGAAAATACTTCTTCAGTTGCCTTTGCCACAGTTGTGGGAAAGTCCCTGGACACAGCCCCTGAAATGCTTGCATTGCCTTTGATGGGCTGTGTCCTAATTAGTTTCATCTGCTTCCTTAGGTACTTCCCCAAGCAGGGGCACAGAGCCGGGTCAGGATGGGAGCTGAATTATGAGAATCCAGTTAGATGGCTGAAAACTCTGAGCAACAAATCAATGCTCTCACCTTAGAGAATTCTTTTTCTCAAGAACAGCCGAGATAAGAAGAAAATTCTTTTCTGGCCTACACTTCATTGTGTCTGGAGGCCCCTTTCTTCTGCTGGAATGGGCTTTTGTTTACTGACTCACTATTTAGTGGTAAATGTTAGGGCACCAGTTCATTCCAGCTGGCAGTCCAGACTGAATGGCAGTGGCCACAGAAGTACAGTGTTGCTGCCTGCCTTTCTGACCACCTTCAGTTTCCTGCCCTGGCATAGGAGCTCTGGGCAGGCACCACCTGTCGAGCTGGGTGAGCTTGAATTGCACAATGGGCAAATTGTTTGCATTTTAAAAAGGGCACAATTATGTAGCTCTTTCATGGGCAGAATATGAAGAACTAGATGTTGATTAATAAGAATTTTAATTTGTTGGCTTTAGCAAGGTTGCATCCGTTTTTGAGTTTAAAATATTAGGATGATTACCATGTGAAGAGCTTGTTAATATTCAGGCTTTGAGAGTCTAGTAGCTGCACATGTGGTTGCCATAGGTCCTAGGAATATTGCTAACAATTTCCCACATTCACTCTCCCTATTTGGGGAAGAAAATGCCTGTACACATGAATTTTCCAAATTAATACTCATTTTGTTGTAATATTACATATTTTCAGTGCTGCTATTAATTGGATTATTTCCTACCCCCTTGTAATTTCCAGGTTCTTTCAGCCTCCCAACCACCCCTGCCAGCTGCAATTATGTCAGTCATCATCTAACATCAACCTTTTCATCTAAAGATCAGCTTAGCTCTCCTAACAGGCAAAATTGAAATTAGCAGGGGATTTATTTTGAAATCTCTTGAATATTGGGAGCTTTACCAGGAGTTGTTGATGTATTTGCCAAGGCATATGTGTGCTCATGTCATTGTTTCATTTTCATGGTGAATGTGCGAGATGTTTTTTCTTGATGGATTTAGGGCTTAATCTAGTTAGTGATAAATTGTTTCCAGTTGACTGCCAACTTGTGATTTTTTTTAATCTTTGAAGAGTTTGATTTGCCATGGATAGAAAGAAAGTGAAATTTTGATTTAAAATAAAAAATATGTAATTTTGTTTTTCTTATTTAGATTTGAATCATCCTATGTTGGATTTCAAGAAAATAAGTATCTCTGTTTGGGTCCTGAGCTGAGCCACAGTTTCTGATTAAGCCAGGCTGACTCTGGAAGACTTAACCTGTATAAGAAACACTCTGTATAATATTCCTTTCACATTAATAACCAACATTTTAGAAATAAAAAGTCATAATTTGCACAAGAAATTTAGCTAGGATCACATCTGGGAAGCAAACCTGGGGAGTCTAGGAGACTTGCTTTTTCATTTTATATCCTTCTATAAATGGTTTGTTTTTACTAATTGTCTTGCCTGAGGGTTTCATCCCTGGCAAGTTCACTCTGGTTTTGGTGAGACTGAAAAATGACAATGAAACATTTTGGGGTATAAAAAGTCTTACACCAAGCTTTATTCTTGTGATGGCAGGTCAAGCACTAGAATTCCATCTGCCTCCAGGGCACTCCGTATCCAGCAAGCCAGTCTCTGCCTCCAAGCCTCTCTGCCAGTGCAGCTCCAGAGCACCAGGCAGAGCTCTTTATATGGAGTCAGTGATAGCCCATTGCCAACACATGTGCAAACATGCACCTGTGAGTATTGCACATGTGTAGTGGGCAAGCAGACTAGGGCCAGGTGAAGATCCTAGCCATGGATTCTCACTTCACAATCTACATGCCCTCAGTCTTATGTAAGATTGTGCAAGAAAGCTGGAACACTGTAACCAAACTCCACAATAGCAGAAGCTATAACAATATACAAATAACAAATTATGATGATACTCAAGTAACAATAAAAATTATAATAATAGTTGTCCCCAAACCTGAGGGGATAGATTGCCACCAAGTGGTCATTCTAGCTGTATTCAAAGCAGTCCCAGTTCACAATTCGCTCATTCCATGGGAGGCCAGTAGCACTACTGATAAGGAGCCAGGTGCATACCCAGCAAGTAGCAGTTTTTGCTAGGGTGTGTGCTCAGTCCACACAGACAGAGATAAACCTTAAGGGCGATAAGACACATGCTTTAAGTACACAAAAGTGAGTCTTATCCATCAGGTAGGATGCATGCAAGAGAGTGGTCCTATGAGATGACTGTGGCAGGAAAGGGGTCTTGTCCGGGTCTAGTATACCATACCTTTATCCCTTTCCCTGGGGGTGTTTCTGAAGGGTCTGTGTGCTACTGGAGGTGCATGCCCTGGCCATAAAGATAAACCTCCCGGGTAAGATGGTCTTACCTTCCGGCTGCTTAAGGTTCACTACCATGATCTTTGGGAGCCACTCTGCCATTACTCCATGAATCCATAGGAGGCCAGCCCCCAGACCTTGTCCCCAAAGTGCCAGGAGGGCCAACCATCACTGGTCTGTGTGTCAAAAGGTCCAAGGTCACAGTACACTGAACAAAATCTCCGGGACTTATTGCAGTTGGTGCTGACAGCAAGATGTTATTCTGGTGGCCAAACCCTGGCTTCAGGGATTCCTCCTTGGTTTGTACTTGCAGTTGATTAGGGAAAACAGCAAAACAATGTGTGTTAGCATGTCTACGGGGCTCAGTGCCCCTTTCCGGGGCTTATCATTTCAAACACCATAGCACTGTCCATAAGCAGACTGACCATCCCCATAGACTACTGATATCTGACTGCAGGCCAGATTTTAGCAAGCCATTTATAACTCTCTGTCATTCCTGCCCCAGTAGGATTATATGGTACATGAAACTACTACTTTATCCCTATTTGTTGTACCCATTCTTGTAGTATGTCCAGTAAAGTGGGTGCCTTGATCACTCTCAATCACCTGTTGTCGGCCATAGGCTGCAAAGAGATGCTCCAGGCCTCTTTTGATCATTTGCTGGTCTGCACAGTGTGCAGGAAAAGCAACCAGAAGTCTAATAGCTGTGTCCACACCAGTCATGACATACCTGCCACCTGATGAGGGGCATCAGCCCCTTAGTTATTGCTCCAAGTTGCTGTAGGACTCAGTCTAAGTCACTTTCAGAGCATACAGTGCACTCCTGCCAGGCTCTGCTGACTCTTCAAAGGTCAAAGGGAGGCCCCACCAACAGGCTACAGCCCACATTGTCTTCTGCCTCTCATGTAACAAATGGTGTAACCACTGGGCCACATCAAAGGCAGGCTTTCCTTCTAACTAACACACCTACGCTAATTCATCTGCCTCATTGTTTCCTGGGAATGCCAGCAGCAAATAACCTGTCATGTAATACACTGTAACTCCTTTAGTCTGACTACAGGCCCATAAGTCTTGCCACAACTCTTGCCCCTAAAGGGGTCCACCAACCAGTCGGCAAAGTACCATGTCAGTAGCCACAGAGTCAAGTCTTTATGGCCCAGCTGTCAGTACAGACAACTATAGAGGAGGGCTCCTGGCTGATTATAGGCCACACAGCCCACAACTCTGCCTATTGACTGCTCTTCCCCTCACCATCTTCCATCCATATTGTCTCAGAATGGAAAGCTACAGCCCTCTATTTCAGGGACTGCCCATGGCTGGAGCCATCTGTATACCATGCATCTTCAGGTATAGGGGTTCTTCCCTCCCAATAAGGACTCCCTGCTACTAGTGGCTCTAAAACATGTTCTTCTTACCTTTCACTGGTATATGTCACTGGTTCCAGTAAGCACTGGAGTTATTCACTCAAGGGGCTAGTAGAGAGGGTACTATGCTGCTGTAGGTATGCACCCCACTTGGCTTGTAGGCATCTGTACCGCACTACTCTGTGGCTTTTGGGTCCAGTCTCATACCCACCCTGCAATGGTATAGGTGGTTATTACCTTTATTGGGGCCATGTCAGTAATGGGTCTGTAGCCAGTAAGGCATGGTACATGGCAGCCAATTGTTGCTCTATTAAGGTGTACTGTACCTCTACTCTTTTCCATAGTTGTGGCTAGAATCCAATAGGTTGGTGAGTTCATTTAAGTCGTTGCCAGAGACCCCAGCCATAACTGTCTTTGGTCACATGAACATCCAGCTTGCAGGGCCTTGATGGGTCTACATACTCAAGGCTTGCACGGCATTGACCACTCATTTTGCAGTGGTAAAGGCAGATGCACATGTCTCATCCCAGTCCCACCTGATGCCCTTTCATACCAAATGGTATAAGGGCTTCAGAATTTGTGCTAAGTGTGGGATAAACTCTCTCCAGTAGCCTAAAAGACCTCAAAACTCCTGTAACAATGCCACAGTTGTAGGGATAGGGAAAGTCTGGACTTTATCTATTATTGTTTCTGAGATAACTTTGGTCTTACCTGACCAGACAACCCCCAAGAATTTGACAAACCAGGTCCGTGAACCTTGGTGCAGTTCACGTCCCATCCTTTCTCATGTAGATGTTGCAGCAATCTAGGTTCTGCACCTTCTAGACTGAAAGAGAATCAGACATGAACATATCATTAATATGGTACAGCCACACCATTGGCAGTTTCTCCCATGCTGCGAACTCCTACGCCACAAGACTGTGACAGATGGTGGGGCTGTGGAGGTACCCCTGTGGAAGGACAGTGAAAGTCAATTGCCATCCTTCCCACATAAAGGCAAATTGTTCCTGGCTTTCCTGCTCTATGTTAATAGAGAAGAAAGTATTGGCAAGATCTACAACATAATGATATGCTCCTAGTTTGTGACTGAGGGTATCCATAAGGTCTGCAATAGAGGGGATGGCAGCATGCAGAGGGGGTGTGACTTTATTCAGTTCTATGTAATCCACAGTCATATGCCAGGAGTTGTCCAGCTTTCTTACTGGCCACACCAGATAATTAAAAGGGCTATGGGTGGGCTTTATAATACCCACCTCCTCCAGTTCCTGGAGGGTTTCTCCAATTTCTTTATGCCCTCCAGGCAATTTGTATTGGTATTAGTTACCCACCAAGGCACAGGCTATGCATGGGTGCTCAGCATGTCCCCTCAGAACTGCCTTCACCACATGTATCCTCAGTCTGAAATCACCAGTGGTCTGCAACCATAAGCCCTACAGGATATCTATCCCCAGAATATATTCAGGGATGAGAGAAATATACAGAATATACTCCTTGGGTAAACACCCTATTTGCAGTAGGATTTGGTCTTGTTTCACTGTGATAACCTTACCCCCATATCCATCTATAAGAGTTGAAAACCCATCAGGGTTGCCATAATCAGTGAGCATTCAGCATCTATGTCTACCAGAGCCAGGACATGTTGTACATTCACTGGGAACCAATGAATTCTATTCCAGCATGTGGCTTCCAGTCCCCACCCGGTTCCTCAAGGTGACCCTCCCCTCAGTCAAACAGTATCACCCAATCAGTTTTCTGTGAGGGTCCAGGCAAAGCTGGCTCACTCTCTAGCAGGAAGTCTTGCAGCAGCACAAGCCGGACTTGTTGCTTTGTCTTTGGCTTCCGTTCATTGGTCCTCATCTTAGTCAGTAGCTAAAACTGATGATCCAGCTTCAATTGTTGCCACAGCTCCAGTAGGATTTTATTTAACTTCCCATCTGATTTCTCTTTGCTCCTGCCTTTATCAAATCAACCCACATCTGGGTCCTTCTGACCTTCATAGGGCCCTTTAAGCCCTTCCTCTCAGTAACAGACCACATTCCCTTCTGTGCCTGCATTGCTTCAACCTCCCCAAAATCTGCCCCAGTATGGGTACCATATTTATGAGCTGCCCTAAGTGAGGGGAAAGAATGGCCACTAAGGACCCAAAGAGGGGATGGTGGAGCCATTTGCAACACCATATCCCTCACGCCCACCATAAACAGCTCTTCACCTGGGTCATGTTTTCCTGGGTTATAAATTGTATTTTTTCATGCTCAACTCCTGTTGCACCTGTTGGAGCTCAGTATACGTCTGCCATCTAGCAGGGATGGTAAGTCACCCTGATTGGGCCATACAGTGAAAAGGGTGGCCATAAGCCTTTTGAGAAGTGAATGATTCCTTGGGGTCTGGTGTGCATTTTGCAGTAGTTGCCATAAGGCAGGGTGAGTTCTCTAGAAAGCCAGCTTTCCCATCTCTGATCTAGACTGGAGGATAC